CCCCAAAACCCCAAAACCCCAAAACCCCAAAACCCCTAGTTCAAGGAAAAAACTGAATAAATAATTTGATATTTAGTAATTTAAATTATTAAAAATGATCCCAGGTATGGAACAACCAGAGGGGCTTTCTCTCGAGATCTTAGCAAAGATACACAAAGGATTCAAGGTAAATTCCCAGTATAAAAAGTTTAGGGATCTCACCACTGTGAAGACTACCTAGCAACCGTCCAGAATGGTAATTTATCACCGGAAGATAGAGAGAAATTAATGACTTGGATATACAATGTAGGTTCAGTGGAGTTTAATACTGTTTAGATTGGAGGCTTATTACAACTGACAGAATCAACTATTCAAGCTGCATGAAAGATTACTGACAGCTTCCTCAAGAGTACCCCGGCCAATCCTTCCCTACACAAACTTGTTGGAGCAGCCAGTATCTCGTTGTCAATAAAAGCGAGTGAGGTAATATTTTCCAATTTATTTCTTTTAGGTGGTTGTTTGAGATATGGAAACTATAAGGCGCCTATGAGACAACGAATACTCCATTCAGAATCATCTTCAAATTGAAGAAATTCTTTTGGACAAACTCGATTGGAATTTAAGAGTCATCACTTCCTCTGAGATAACCCAACGTCTCAAAGATCTAATCTGAGAATTCGCGGAGAATCAAAATATGATCAAACAATTTGGGGGAGAACGCTTACGCTCCTTAGCCATGGTCTTCAATTCAGAGGAATTCGGGGGCAAGGTATCAACCTTCACCCAGATCGCTTTGATAGGTAAATTGAATTTATAACACAAATAGATTATAACCTCAGCAGATACAGTCCCTTTGTCTGAGCGGTTGTAGCACAGATGTTAGTATTGGCAAAGTACTATTCCAGATCAGAATATTTCTTATTTTCAAATATCATGAATTTTCTCTTCAAAGACGATGAGTATGCCTGAAAGTTCGAATCTTTCATTTCCTTAGCTTCCTCAATGCTGGGGATTGATATTCCAGAGGCTTGCCACCAGGAAGAAAAAGCTAATTCAAAAGAAAACCAAGAAAAAGAAGACACTGATAACGATTCTGACAAAGTTTCTTGAGTGAGCGTAAGGAGTGAGAAAAGCACTTCTTACAATACCACCCCTTGCAAATCTCGTCCCTCGGTCTCTCCTTTGACTAAATCTAGGGGAGCTGAGAGGCAAGATTGTCACACAAATATGGATTATGAACAATTGAAACAAAAGAGAATCCATATGAAAAAGCGTTCCATAATTTGTAAACGCAGACTCTAATTAACACCTTCGTGTTGAAGCCTGAGACACAACCCATATTCCTTGAATGTGGGAGTGGAGGCTTAAAATTTGTATTTCATCCATATATTTTAAATTGGGGTTTTGGGGTTTTGGGGTTTTGGGGTTTTGGGG